TATACATGCAGAAATATGATCTAACAGTTAATGACATTTTGGAAAAATATTAATAAGAGAAGAATACTTTTACTAAGTTTAAAATAATAGACAGTCTATATTATAAAAAATTTCAGTAACATGACAAAGCATTGAAATTCTTCTAAAATACTTCTAACGTTGAAAATGATAAACGTTGCTAAAAAATTAAATGAAATCCTCCGACAAGACAATGTCTAATTTTCTCAATATTTTTTCAATGTTTTCTTTATATATGACAAGTTTCGTTATTGCATTTGGCTTTATTGCTAATAAAAATATGTTCGATATTGAAAGTACGAATAAATACGATGATAGACACTTGATTCATTTGGTTGAATATTTTTTGGCAAAGGTGGTATAAAATTAGTGATGAAATCTTTTTGAAAGATGCTACTACAAGAGATAGTTGTATAACATAGATTGTATGACGCAAAGAATTTTTGCTATATTCCGGTCATAAAAGTTATTGTCAACAGCAGATTTGCAAATTTATGATGCAAATAAATAGCAACCTTGACATTTAACAAAAGAAACAATGTAAAATTTAAGAACTCACGACGATTGTTAAATCAACTTCTCCCTAGCTGTCGCTTGTTTTATCTCCCATAAAAGTCCGCATTCTAATTATCAAAATAATTAAAAATTTAATCAGATAAAATAACCCATTTTGAAAACGGTGTTTCCTTGACAATTTTTTTGAATTACTAACATAATTACGGAAGAATCTTCTTAGCATTCTATTGTGGAAATTAGTAGTGAAATAAAATTCACGAGCCCGCAGACAATTAAAATTTCGGATTCCTACGAACTAAGTTTAATGTGTTCAGTTGCGACGAGTTTTACGGGGTGGTATTTCATACTTGACGCGTAACGGAATTGTTCTCTTAAATACTCGGACCGATAGAAATGAGCCGATTAAAGAGGACAATCGTCGAGGGAACTTTTATAACTAGTTGGTAATTACGGGTCACTGTGCGGTCTTCGACTTGCGGACTGCCGTGTAAACCACGGAGAACTTTATGATCGCTCGGAAGAACACTTCCGTGCCATTTTGTCGACGTCTCGAGATTTTCAGCGTCTTTTCTTATTGACAATCTATTGAAGGAAATCCTAGGGTTCGACAATACCGTGAAAAACAAATACTATGTTTTCCCTCGATGCGTTGCAATAAATGTACGTACGCAATGAAAAGGGTGGGCGTGTATGGTCAACGATGACTCCAAGCACGATTAAATATTTAATCACAGGAATTGTGCAATTCGAATTGCGAGGATGGAGAATATTTATTTTTAAAACATATTCTGGCCAACATGACTGTCAATCTATCGATTTGTATTACGAATTACTGTAATTAATGCATGCGTGGAATTCGCAATTTACAAAACGTTGTGTAATAAAAGCTTTAGTACAGTTTCTAAAGTAAATTTCAAATTTACACTTTTTATTCGCATGACTAAATCGTTTATTTCTGTCAAACTTTGAGTTTATGCAATTATATTTGCACATTGAACGTTGTCATGTAACATCTACGATGGAGAAAATGTGAAATTGAAAATAAAATCGAAGGATTGATACTATCTTAATTAACAAATAACGGATCAGTAGGCTGTTGATTTTATGCTTTCGTGACTAAAATGAGTACACAAACGCAAAATAGTAAAAACATTGTAATGTAGGACTATAGAAATTAATTTTTATGTCACTTCTATTTCTCGTAATTAACATAGGAAATGTTGATTTTACACAAAAACCCGTAGTATAGGAATATTTGAAAACTTAAAGAAAGCTGTGTAAACGTCTGTGATCTGAAGGTTCGTTAAAATGTTGTAACAAAAGTTTGAAATGCGGAAAAAGAAAACCAACTTATTCTTAGTATGATACATAGCGTGAGTAAGCTTTACGATCGATCATCACTTAGCCTTAATACTTCGTTTCATAGTGTTGGTCGTTCTTGTTAATACAAGAAGGACATTGATAAAGAATCGATTCTGTTTCACCTCGGCGAAAGAATCAATAATTTCTCGTTTCGACAAATATAGCTTACGTAACAACAAATTAAAACGCGAAAATCGCTATGTTTATGTTTATACTTTTTTAAATAATTGTATTAATCAATATTAGTTTTAAGAATTGAACAACTCCGTGGAGATAACAGAGTAAAGTATGTATGATAAAAATTATTTGCAACTTCGCACGACACAGAAGCAGATGTTTTATAACGCAGTGGCTTTCACACGGGTTATTGACATGTATTACAAATATGTACGAATGCGTAACTTTCACTGAAAATGCAGTAAATAACAATCGGACCATTCTTGTTTTTTTCACAGGGTAGATAAATATCACTCTACTCGTTCACATTGTGTACCGCAGGATACGGTATTCTATCGTATCTCATCCGTTCTCCTTTTTTATTTGGAACAATCCGATTTTCTCTTTTTGTTATTCCGTTTGATAAAACGAATTTCACGCAGTCACGCCCAACTGCGAGTTACAATAGTGTAAGTTCGAAACAAGCTTTCATTGTACCAACTTCCGATTTTTGCTCGGTTCCGCGACTTTTTTCTTCTTGTCTGTTCTCATCGTGATTTTTATACACTTCTGGCTTCTAAAAATGTAAGAGAAGTAAACTTGATAATTAATTTTTTCAGTGTTTTCAACTTGTAGAAGCTATTAATACGTGAAGAGAAATTCTCTTTTGATGAAATCTACAGTTTTCTCAACTTACTGAAACTATTAGACAAGTTTTTTCAAATTAAAATCTGCAATATTTTTAACTTATTCAAGCTATTCAA